TGTTTTGAGTGTTATGCTCGAAGTCCCTCCATCGACTCTCTTGAGGACTTGCTAGCATAAATGGTATCTGACGGCACTAGAGATTCTCTGCCCGCCGACACGCAGACCTATGTAACGCTAAATGAGACTAGAAAATGGCTTAAACCTGCAGAGGTGGCTGGGCTGGCTGACTATATCGACGAGGGCGAGTGATGCAAAAAGCGTGTTGACCCGTCAGGCTCTAAGAGCCCCGCATACAACACAGAAAAGGACATTTCTCTCGAGGAGAAACACGAGAACCCAAGGCAGGGCGCTAAACCTGTCGGTTCCCAAGTGAACTGTTTCAGCTGCAAGGGAATAGGACAGTTTTCTAGTGACTGTCCACGGAACACGGCAGATGGAGGACAAAGAAATTACCCCGCTCCGTGGTAAGTAACATCTCAACAAATTTAACACCACCTCAGCACCTCAGCAGAGTATCTCCCAGGGCATAAATGTCGATCAGAACGGTACCCGCGCTGAGTTGCGGGGAGTAGAGGTGGAATGCGGCCCGAGGATGGTGCTGGCGGTTATCGATTCCGGAGCGGAGATTAGCGTAGTGACTGAGGGGGTAGCGCCTGAAGTGAAGAGGTCGTCCGGAAGCGTGACACTGACTGGGGCGTTCGGGGACAGCGTGAGCGCCGTTCTACGACGTATAGCGATGACCCTCCCGCAAGCTACGTTGAGTACGTCCCTCGAGAGGTGCCGCTCTTGTGCGCCGTCACTGAAGAATTGATGAACGGCATAGACATGCTGTTGACGCCCGATGACTACGACAGTCTAACATTGACTTGCGGAAGGGTTGACTTGGAACCGAAGGTTTGTGAAGCTGAAGACGCGATTACTGACGAAGGTGGTGAGGTTGCAGGCGGGGGCCGTGGCGCTGAGCTTCGGCTTCCACAAGTGCGACCTGACCGAGGAAAAGCCGCGCGTGGTGGCCTTCGTGGACATGGGTCATTAGGCGCTCCGGGAGGTGCAGTGTGTTGCTGTGTTTCTGACTGTTTAGATGCACTGTGTACGTTAGTACTAATTCTGAGCGGCGATATAGAACTTAATCCGGGACCTATGTCAGATGCACAGATCAAACAGTTTAATGAAATGTTGAAGCTTCTGCAGGATGTCAACGAGCGGACTGTACGCTTTGAATCTGGGCAGGAGATGCTAATGAGTTCCGTAAATGAAATTAAGAAAAACCAACAACTGATGGAAAATAGACTCACCTCAGTCGACAGTAGGCTCACAAGAGTAGAGAAAGAGTCTGCAAAGTTTAACGAATGGCAGAAGCAACTACATGCTGCACAGTGCATTGCTGATGACGCCGGGAAAGAGAATTCTCTCCTGCGTGAGCGCATGGACGAGATAGAGGACCGGTCAAGACGGGATAATTTAATTTTTCACGGAATCGAGGACGTTCCGTCAGAAACGATGAGTCAGTCTGAGGAGAAGGTTAGAGCGGTGCTTCTGCGGGTAATGAATATGGAGGTCACAGATGACGCCATAGCTCGAGCGCACAGGATAGGCCTGTTTCTCGGGAACAAGTGCCGACCGATTATTGTAAAATTCGCGAATTCGAAATCTAGAGAGAGCATCTTGTCGTTAAGAACGAAGGCAAAAGGCAGTGGCATTTCTATTAATGAGGATTTTTCACCAGCTACACGTCAGGCTAGAAAGAAATTAATCGAATTTGCGAAGGCATTAAATCCTAATATTAACTTTAGATTACGGTACAACAAGCTTCATTTTGACAAAAAAATTTATGTTTACTGCTCCGAAACTGATAGTGTGCGCGAGCTCGGGGCTCCCTCTGAGTTGAGTCTCGCCGATACAGCCGCTGGCGTCCTTGCTGAGTCAGCGAATGAATCCCCTTCGTCATAGCAACCGAGAAACGATCATGGTCATTCTTCCGAAAATATGTCTATCTTTTTTACTAACATAAGGAGCGTGCTAAAAAAGCGAGATGAGTTATGCGCTGTGCTTGACTCGTCATCGGCTGACGTTGTCGTACTCACCGAGACGTGGCTTTCCGCTACAGTACGGAATAGTGAAATATTTGATTGTCAAAAGCGGTTTAACGTGTATCGTTCCGATAGGCAGTTTGGATCTGGAGGTGGTGTACTAATTGCAGTAGCCGACTGTATTGTTTCCTATTGTGTAAACTTGGCGTTAAATATTGAGTTTCTCTGCGTTTGTTTTGAAGTGAATTATAAAAAAGTTATCCTTTGTGTTTGCTATCGTCCGCCGAAGTGTACCTCTAGTTTTGTAAACGAACTTCATGATGCTATCAAGATAGTTGTAACAAGGTTTCCAAACAGTCCAATATTTCTTCTAGGTGATTTTAATTACCCAAACATCTGTTGGTCACATGAGTGCCCGTTTCCTAACCCATTTTCGTCGGAGTGTTTCGATTTCTTGAACATGTGTTCCGATTTTAACTTGTCGCAGCTAGTTACAGAACCCACAAGAATTGCAGCCACGTCAGCAAATATTCTTGACCTTGTTCTGACCTCCACACCTGACCTTGTATCCCTAATATCTCACCTACCAGGACTAAGTGATCACTGCTCGTTACTCATCTCTCTAAGCATACCAAAGTGTAATAGTAGAAAGCAGATAAAACTTATTCGTGACTACCGAAAAGCTAATTTCGACGCTATAAACGATGCCCTGAGTCAGTTTGTTGATCACTATTTTGTTAACTGCTCCGAGCGTTCTGTTGAGCAGAACTGGAATATGTTTAAGGGTCAAGTCGCTGTTCTCACCGACAAGTACATTCCACTGCGATCTGTAACGTCTCACCATCAATCACCATGGTATAACCCATCACTGAGGAGGCTATCAAACAAGAAAAAGAGATTGTTTCGTGCCGCGAAATCTTCCAGTACCTGTAACCGTTGGGAATCTTACCACAACGCCAATGCAGTTTACAAAAGTGCTATTGAAGATGCAAAAAACGAGTATTTTAACGTTAAGCTACCGTCTATGTTAGCCACTAACCCAAAGCAGTTTTGGAATGTTGTTAGTAAAAAAGAAAAATTCGTAATTTCACTCAAGGACGCGAATGGAGACGTAATTAATAGCGATGAATGTGCTCGCGTTTTGAATGATGTTTTTATTAAGTCCTTTCAGTCTGTTATTAACACGCCTATTTGTAGATTTGACGCGAGTGATTTTTTGCCTATGGGACCCGTTCTTGTCGACCCATTTGGTATTGTTAAAATAATCGATAACTTAAAACTTTCTTCCTCTGCTGGCACCGACAGCATTAACTCAAAGTTCCTCAAGAACACAAAAATGTATTGCTCTTTGATATTATCTCAAATTTTTTCCCAGTCGCTTTCACTTGGAGAGTTGCCTGCTGATTGGAAGATAGGGAGGGTGGTGCCAATCCACAAAGGAGGTGATAAACATTGCCCGAATAACTATCGACCAATTTCGCTTACTAGCATTCCATGCAAGATACTAGAACATATCATCTACTCACAACTAGTTCAATTTTTAGAATCTAACCTTTTCTTTAGCACCGCTCAGCATGGTTTTCGTAAATCCTTCTCTTGCGAAACGCAACTTTTGTCATTCACCCATGATTTGCACCTAGCGCTTGACCGAGGGTCCCAGGTAGACTGCATTTTTTTGGAATTTTCCAAAGCATTCGATAAAGTTTCACACAAGCTGCTGCTATTAAAACTTAACAGTCTTAACATTGACGCAAATGTTCTTTCCTGGATAACTTGTTTTCTCACTAATCGTTCCGAGTTTGTAACCACTAACGATGAAACGTCCCCGCTCGCCTCCGTCCATTCTGGAGTACCGCAAGGTTCTGTATTAGGTCCGCTATTGTTCCTTATCTATATTAACGATTTGCCGAATTCGATTTCTTCTTCAATTAGTTTATTCGCTGATGATTGTGTTATTTACAGAGAAGTTACTAACGCCTCGGATGTTCTGAATTTACAAACTGACATCAACCATGTTTCAAAGTGGTGTGAATTATGGGGGATGGAACTTAACACGACTAAATGCAAGGCCATGACAGTATCGCGTAAATGTAATTTTCCTTCTTCTTATTTTCTCGAAGATGTCCCCTTACATTCTGTCTCTTCTTATAAATACCTAGGCGTGTATATAACCTCAGATATTTCCTGGCAAATGCATGTTGAGTATGTTATTAATAACGCTAATCGAATGCTGGGTTATCTAAAACGAAACTTTTCACTTGCCCCTTCATCTTTGAAACTAACTCTGTACAAAACGCTTGTACGCTCTAAATTACAATATGCTTCTTCTATCTGGGACCCCGGTCATTCCAAACTAACTAACGCCCTGGAATTAGTTCAGAACCGCTCTGCTCGTTGTATTCTTAATAACTTTCATCGCACCGCAAGCGTGAGCTCAATGAAAACTAGCCTATTGTTGCCTAACCTCAATTTACGTCGTAAAATAGCTCGCTTATGTCTTTTTCATAGGATATACCATACTAACTCATTACTTCACAACCGACTGCTGAATCAACCTTCTTATATTTCACCTCGCATTGATCATATGTATAAAGTAGACATTCTAAAATGCAACACTAATGCATTCCAAGAGTCATTCATTCCAAAAAACTTCAGTGAATTGGAACCACCTTCCCGCATCTATCGCAACAATTGTTCCTGACCATTTATTTAGGACTGCCATGAATAATCTATACTGCTCAGATTGAGCTGCGAAGTGTACTACTGCCACTAACCCCCACTCCCCTCTGTAATGCCAATGGCCTTGAGGGTATTTTAAATAGATAAATAAATAAATAAACAAGGACCGACTCGAGATGCTGGCCGCCACCTTCGGTGGAGTCGGAGGCCGCGACGTCGACGTGGTGCTGGTGCGGGTGCGCTACTTCGTCCAAGAGTTCAAGGAGCGCTACTAGCTTGACGTGGCCACCAACTGGCGCGCCCTCATACGTATTATCCCCGAGTGCGAGAGGCTCAAGAAGCAAATGAGTGCCAACCCAACGGCTTGCCGCTCAACATCGAGTGCTTGAAGAACGACCGGAACGTTGCAGGCAAGTTGAAGCGGGAGACCTTCGAGGTCATGTCCACCGAGCTCGAGCGCCATGGCTTGGCGCTGACGGTGGCCGGGCTGCGGCCGACGGACGTGGAGTCAGTGGAGCTGGTCGGGGGCGGCACCCGGGCGCCGGCGGTCCAGCAGCTGGTCCGCAAGGTGTTTTAATGGGAGCCCTCAACGACACTGAACCAGGACGAGGCGGTGGCCCGGGGCTGCGCTCTGCAGTGTGCCATGCTGCCACCCATCTTCAAGATGCGAGACTTTGCGGTGGTGGACGGCCAGCCCTACCGCATTGAGCTGTGCTACGACGCGGACAAGGGAGAGGACAGCCGGGCAGAGGTGCTCCCCCGCTGGCATCAGCTGCACTTCAGCAAGACGCTCACATTCTACCGTAGCAAGCGCTTCAACCTCGAGGCGAGGTACCCGCAGGAGGCGGCGGTGCTCTACCCGGATCTGCAGCTGGACAGCTTCACGGTGAACAAGGTTGTCTCCACGGCCGAGGGCGAGGCGTCCATGATCACGGTGAAGGTGCGTCTCAACCTGCACGGCATCTTCTCGGTGGTGTCCGCCTCGGCCGTGGACCGCAAGCCCGGCAGTCGACAGGCAGGTGTTGGGTGTGCAAACGATGGAGACCTAGCGGCGGCGGGGGCGACGAGTGGCGAAGAGGTACCCCCGACCGAGGGAGGTGACCCCGACAAAGTGGCCGAGGGCAAGCCTGTCAAGAAGGAGGAGCGGCCCAGTTCAAAAGAAAAGCAGGCCAAGGCCACGGAACTCCCGGTGGAGGTCCGGGTGCCGCAGCTGAGCGCCTTCGAGATGGACCAACTTGTGGAGCGTGTGGTCCAAATGGTCCACAAAGACCGCCTAGAGAAGGGCGACTTATTTGTCACGCAATGGGTGTTTGGTTCGTCGCATACGCGAACCGAAGTTTTGGTGTATTTTTTTTAAATGTATTGTATATTTTAGGTTGGTGAGCTTTTTTTTTTTTCCGTATGAACATACGGGCAGTTCCGTGTTTTGGGAAAATAGCCTGGCCTAGATAGAGCATATGTTCCGCGAACGCCTTTGCTGATGTGTGCCTTGTGAGGCGCTGCTGAGAGACAGTAGCACAGACGGGCATACGGTTTCATAACCTGCCGCCGGAACCACATTGCAGCGTCCTCCGACTTCGAGGCATTGGCAGCGATGGTCCGGGCAACATGAGCTCCCACGTGGGTCACAAGTCTTCGGACTACTTTCTTCTGGGCAACTACGAGATCAATATTAAAGTGCGGCGCCATGTTTATTTTATTTATTTCGGCTCAGGAGAGCCGAGGCGCCGCACGATGGCACGTGGCCCATACAGAGAAGGCCCGCAGCGCCACGTCCAACGATGATAAGATAGTATTCCACAGATAAATAAAAAAATAATGGTAATGATTTAAACGGAGCTTGTGAACGAGGGTGAGGGATTGACGTGTATCATGAAGAGGGTGACATGTCTTAGGCCTAGCAGGTTTTAACGACCCGGTGTTTTTCAAGGGGCCGCCATGGACTGCTGACTTCTTGCAGGTGGCTCTCGAGAGCCTTTCGAGGGTTCTTGCTTTTGCGGCTTGAAACAGCAGGCCGGCCGAAGTTTTGGCGAGGCAGGAAGTCCAGCATCCCTGCGGTTGTTCACCGGGGGTTGGTGTTGGCGTTGGCGGGGCGTCGGTCGCGCGAAAGCGGGCCCTGATGTCTCCCAGGTCGCAGTGGAGCTTTTAACTAGTGATGGGCTGAACCTTTGCGGAATAAAAATTCGGCGCTGAATATTAGGATTTGGCGAAGCCGAATTTTCGCCAAACTTTTTTTAAGAGTCGGCAAAGATTCGGCAAAAATGCATTGTCTAAAGACCTAAAAGTTTATATTTCTGTTTCTCCGGGCAAAAAAAAAGTGTTTTTTTTTTTTAATGCATATTGACACAGTTGTTACTAAATAAGGTGATATTCTACAATATAATTGTATCGGTGTCATTTTTGTGGGTTTGATCTCAATTGTAGTGACATTTTCCAGGAATGTGACAACGAGGTTGGGGGGTAGGGCTTTACGACACGAGAGCGCACGACAGCAGAGCACCGCGACACCAGAGGGCACGACGGGAGAGCGCCCCGACACGAGAGCTCGTGCCATTACAGCGCGCGTCACGAGAGCGCATCTGCGCGCCTTGGGAAGGATCGACGTTGGAGTCTCCAAACTAGCTTCAAACACATGTTTTTTTCTGATCGAACGCTTTACGTCACTTTATTGGTTGAGCACCCAGACCTGTGGGAAGTCAAACAAATATAGTTTTCGCAAACTCGAAATGAACACAACACAATAATCGCATTCTGGCTGGATGTGCTATAAAGCTTTATTTCACACGGCGTTGCGGCGTTGCTAGACGGCGTTGAATTTCAACGAGTGCCGACTTGCATTTCTTCTTGGGGGGAGCACCGACTCGGTCCTATGGCATTCTCATGGTCACGGTCGATACCTCGAAGCGCAAGGCGTCAATAGCCGATACTGTTGGGAGGCTGTGACTGACCATGCCTCCAAACCTCTGGTTTCACGTTGAGAGTGGTGCCTTCCTTTCTACCTCCAGTTGGGTCATGCCAGTTGAGGCGGACAACGACCGGACCTCCCGAAGGCCATGAGAATCGGGGACACCCAGCGATAGAGAACCCTTCGGTGACATTTGTTACTACTTTTCACCTGGGAACCTTTTTTCCGGGAATGTTTTTTCCGGGAAAATTTTTTCCGGGGATATTTCTTCCGGAACCCTTTGCCAGCCACGCTATTAGACAGCTGTACTTGCAATTGCAACACGAACCATTCAGCAATAAATTAAAGGGGTAATTAGAGACTTTTAGGCCATGGCCTGACATATTTTACCGTATATTGGTACCTCCAATGTCCACCATTTTCGAACAGCGCTAATCGAAGACAACATCCACAAAGCACAAAGCCCTCCAAGATCGATCATTCCCAAGGCGCGCACGTGCGCTCTCGTGACGCGCGCTCTAATGGCACGCGCTCTCCTGTCGCGGCGCGCTCCCGTCGGCGCTCTCGTCTCGTGCGCTCTCGTGGCGCCCTCCCGGGGGGTATCGGGGTAGCGGGCGCTGTCATGATGCGCGAGTTTAGGTTTTCAGCCTCATCAGCGCAAGCTTGTGCATTGTGGAAATAAAGGCGGTAACACTGTGTTCTTACTTTCTCTGCGGGTCACCGTTTTAGAATAGCGTGTTTCCACCGCGACGCAAAAGCCCAAGCGTCTCGCGCTCGCAACGCCACCAAGATATAGTCAAAATTTGTATTTCACGCACGAAGTGCTGTAATCTGAAAAAACAAATACAAGATTTTGGTCCAGAGAAACATCTCAGATTTGTTTAAACATGAGAAGGCGGCGCGAGCGGTCGACCGGTCGCGTCCGCTTGCGTTGTTTGGGCAAAACGTGTCTCCTGCCGAGAAATGTTCGCGCGTCGCAAGCATCAAGTTGTCGGTGATTGTTGCCCACCTTATCGGGTTTTCCAAACCGAGTGCAATGTCGTTCCGTATTGAAAATCGCAGGCGCGAGGATGCCGCTGACGTCGCCACCACGCCGGCGCCAAAGCGGCCGCAGCCATGGTTCTGGGAGCCACCATTTTTTTTAAACTGTGCTCTTCTCGGCTTTAGCTGATTTCTCATCACAACACATCCTTACAGGAGCGCAAAAACTCTTTGCGTACGCACGCAATTAAGAAAAAAATGGCGTACGCATATCTTGCGCACGCAAATGTCAAAATTTGGTTAGCGTTCGGAGCATGCGCAGTGGGGACGACGTTATTTTTTGCGTGCGAAAAGCTTTAGCGTGCGCCATTCTAACACTGCCTAATGAATGCAACGGCTGCTGAGCATTCACCAGAAGAGAAAACTACGTTATTGTAAATTTGATTGTCTTTTTTTTTTTTTGAATTTTAGTTACTTTAGCTTTGCATGATACTTTGTGTCTGCTATTCGCCACGTCTCGTTTTTAACCTATAAAAGTCCGGTTTCTAGTGTTAGAACGCAAGCGGACGTTTAGTAGTTAGGAACGTCGGATGTGCAACGTCGAGGGCACTATAGTTCTGTGTTTAGTTTTATGGGGACAGATGAAAACCGCAAAATAACGCTAACTACTAAAAAGCAATCATATTTTTTGGCACAAATTACATGTGAGCCGAGAACAGGGTCGCTATATTGACTAGAAGTGCTTTAAAGCATTCGTAAGTCAGTGTTGGAACTACCTCGTGCTTCACTGGAAATATCAAATGAAAATCGCGTCATCCGAAATGTACCGCACAATTTATCACTTGCGCAGTAGACTGCGTCAATTCGTGGTCCATCTTCTGTTTTTGAGGCAAAAAATATTGAAGAAAACCACTGTCACAAAGCCTGGCAAACACACAATTACCATTCACTGCGCACGTCGATGTAACCACTCTCAGCACTGCACTGTACGGTGGTAACCGCACGACCAAACAGCGTCTAAAATGCATTCTAGGGCCCTGCGACCCTGTCGCGTTCTTGCGCGGGCGCAGGCGTTTTCCGAATTTTTGCCGAATCTTTGCCGAACGTTCCTTCAAAAGTTGGTCATGTGCCGAACTTTGCCGTATCTGAAGTTCGGCAGACTCGGTCTATCACAACTTTTAACCGAGCAACCTAAGCACCCTGTCGATCTAAGACATGGTTTCTGCCGCTGGTCCGGCTGTCTTACGGAGGACGCGAAAAACACGCTTTACGCCCAGCTGGCTTCCTCTTTTTTCGTGGATGGTTTGTGCAACAAAGTCGAGAGTCCTCAGAAGCCGCCCCTTCATCGTCGATGTCGTCGTCGCTACTCTCCTTGCCGAACGACGTGTTACAAATATTATTCGATCTTACTCAAGGTAAGCGGTTTTTACCTTGGCGTTCTAAAACCGACTCGCGTCTAGCGTTTTTGAATTCGTGTTGTCGCGTGACACGACCCGCCGATCAACCGGATCCATTTGGGTAAGATTTGAAACACGTCCCCGGTCACTTACGTGCGTGACGTAATTATGACGCCGCTGTTGAAGCGATATCTTTGGCTACACCTAATCGTTCCTTTTTTCGTCGTTATATGGCGCAGAAAACTGAAATTCTCTATTAATTACTAATCGTTACGTGTTTATAGAACTGAGAGGGTAGCTCACCGATAAAGTGAAATTATATAGTTAAAGCTAGTAAATGAATCCGAACGACCCAAACAATGAACGCGGGTTGTCTAATAAATGACAACGATTCCAAATAGACATGTAGCTCAGAAATACTGAAGAACATTTCACGGGACCTTTAACGCTGTCCTGCACTCCCTGAGAAAGAGCCACTGAACCCGCGAAACCAACGTGTCGTCTGCTAGCAAGGCGAAGTCCGTTGGGAGATTTCATTACCGGCTTTTATCATCGGTTGACGGTAGTGAGACGATACGAAACATCTTCGTGATTAGATATTGACAAGAGAATTGGTCTACAATAATGAACTATTTTATGATACATATTTTAATCTCACGTGGAGCCCCGATGTGTTTGTTCATAACAATGGCCTCGAAAGTTTGTTTGGAGTACAGCGCTATGTTGTGACATCACCAATTACGGTTTCAATTTTGATGATGTGAACTGAAAGGAAGCGAAAAGAAAAAGTCGTTGGAAAAAACGCGCCCAAAACGCGCGACAAAAAAAAAAAAAAGGACGTTTGCAAACAAAACTATCGTGGGATGAAAATTGAAGATTAGAAAAAGGGTGTTCGGAGATGTCTTGGATTGGATCGCGTTCAAAAAGTACTTCCATCGTGTTCGGTCGGCCGGCTCTGCGTCCCTCGAGCAAGGATTGTCATGGAGAGAGTCCTGGGTCCTAAGCAGGGATTCGCACATTCCGCTGCTCGACCCTCAAATCATTCGAGAGTCTTTCGAGAAGCTCATGCACATTTGCAACAATGGAGCACAAGAGTCTGAATAGTGATTGAGCGACGACGGGCAAGGATTCTCCATTCGATGTACTGTGACAAGTGTGTATGTGAATTTCAGTTATGCATTAGGCTATTTTCTATAGTTATTTCCGCGTGGAATACCTGTTGTAATGATATTGTTTTGGCTTGCAAAATACAATATAATAAAAACGAACAAAAAACTGATGCAAGCTTAGAAAAAAAAAACCAAAAGCGTTATAAACTGTTATTTATAAAAACATTGTGCAGGTGAATATCTCGTTAGTAATATATTGGGGCTTCATCTTTGCACGGAAGGCAATAAAATGTTTCCGGGGGCAACTTCTTCTGAATCGGGCTGTATTTAATGTAGTGTTGTCTCTAAAAAAATGAAAAGTTTGTTTTGCTTATTTCTAGCGTTATACGTAAAATAAAATTTCATTCGATCACATTGAAATTTTTATGGTGAAAGCACACCAGTAATATCTTTATTGTCAATTTAGTTTATTGGGTAGAGAACGTTTTCCTGGAATTTGCCCATATAATTTCCTGGTGGATCGTAGTTGCACACGACGTAGATGTTGTCGCTATACGAACGTGCCCAGCCGCAGCCCAGCTTTGTGGAGTTTTTCCACACTACTTGAGTGAAATGACCAGTTGCGCCACTGAACCCCCCGTAATTGAAGTCGTAGTACTCGATCTCGTCGTACCAGGCAGAGACCACATCTTGTGCTAAAAAAGAAAATAAAGGTACAATTTGTAGGTCTTGAACGTGGGCAAAGCCAGCTGTAGAAAATGCATTTCACATGAGTTGTATTTTTAGTGGCACG